CCAGAGCTCAAACACGAGCTCACAGGTTTTCCCTTGGGTGCTTTGATCGAACTGGAACGTCACAATGGTTGTTGTTTCATCGGCAGGGTTCCCGTTTTTGACGATCAGGAGCTGGTCCTGAGGGTCAAGGAGGGTCTTGCCCGTTTGAACCCAGTATCGATAAGTTGCGTAAGGGTAGATGAGATCATTGATTGCCTGAGTCTCCGGGGCGGGGAGAGCAAGCACAATAGCCGCATAAGGAAGAATACTCAGGAACCTCATGGTAAATGGGAGCAAGCGTGTGGCGGTTTAGGATGAATTTTCAAATTGGTCTTAATACGTTGTGTCTTTATTAGAGGCAAATAAATCGGCTCCCTGGAGGATGAGTAGCATTTTATAGAATTGCAAAAGACAGAAGCCGACGGTTTCTTCATTGTCGCCCAACGCTTGACACATTGCTGCCCACATCCCCGATCTAAAAATGTATACGAGACTACTTCGTATTCTAAAAAGTGTCGTGTATGCTAGCAAATGCGAAGGATGATGTGAATGGTCCAGAATTGGTCATGAGCCAGGTGACGCCAAGCACATCGCTCTTCAGCTATGCCGATCCTCGCATGCTGACTGGAAACCAGCGAGAGAGCGACGCTAGACAACAAGAGAACGTCTCCTATTGGCGGCTAGAAATGAATAACCTTACTTGAAACACGTACGGGCTGAGGAGATCAGCAAAGTTTAGTTATGCATACTTATATTACCCGGGGTGGGGGATTGATGATTGCTGTTTTTCTTGGATTCATTGAGGATGGGTCTAATTTCATGTCGAAAACTTGGGTCATTCACCTAAATAATTCATTAGTATACTTAAACTAAGCTCGCCTTCTGGCATAATGTGAGAAGCAGTCTTGAAAAGCCACAAGTGTACGTTCAAATTCCAAGTGAGAAGCTCTCCTTGGAACAGCGATGACGAGGTGGCTGAGGCGTCGTTGAAAACGAGCAATGCGAGATGCAGAAAGGGAAGGGACGTATGCTGAAAACTGACATGGCCTTCACGTGAATACGAACGTGCTTCGTCATTCTCTGCAGTGATTACGTGTTTTTGGGGCATCGCAAATGTAGGTAGTGTGGAATTAGAACAAAAGGCTCGGGACACCAATATGCAGTATGCGGAACAGGTGGCTTACTATAACTACACCTTTTGTCAGTGGTCATTCCATTATCACTTGCCTAGATATGAACAGTTTATGTGAATTGGTTGGAAGCTGTGGATGGGGTCCTAAGAGCAGCGTTGTCACCTGTCATGTGCAGCCTATAAGAACGTCAAAAACAGCGTATGCAGGTTCAACTACTGGTGAAGCGCCGAATTGGGTATAGCTAGGTCTGCTCAAGGTTCAAAACTGTAGATTATTTGACGTGAGAGCTTGGAAGCTAGCCAGGTAATACTCACCGGCCTGGTGAGATCTCGGTCAAGAATCAAGTCCCGAGCGTACGTGCTTGAACAGTCCGGCCAACACCAGCTCGGGCATTTGAGGGAGACTCAGCAAAGTTAATGTTCGTAAACGATTATCTTGGTCTTGCAGCGGTTTGCTCGGTATTCCACTCCGGCCATTGGGCATGGGGTTCGTCAGATTTGTTACCTAATTATGGGCTGCAGTATGGTTTACCGACGAATCCGAGAAAGCGACACAGGCGTGTTACAGATTGGGATCTCATGTCAGCAATATACTTCTGTCCCCGCGTCGCTGCCAACGTAAAGCCTCCGACGAAGATTTCTAAGACTGCAACCATGGTGTTTGTGGAGAGCCTCTCAGTGCGGAAGCAGGACAACTAAAGGACTATTACAATCGATTTGGTGAATAGAAAATAGTGCCTAGTTCTACGGCCAGGTGCTGGCCATATAGGGACTGCTTTTCTTACCGGGAATTGTTAGGCTAGAAAGTCTCCGGTCTCGAGACCGCAGGGTTTGGATCCACCTGCGGATGGTTACGAATATTGGCCGATTGGATATATAATGTGGCAGCGAGATCTTCCGATTTTTAGGGTCTACTTTATTTAAGATCCAGAAATCCCCACAGGATAAAGACCTCTTCTGATGTTCCCGTAGGTCTTTGTGTCCCTGTTCGTGTCATCGAAACCGTATACGATGTCAACCCCAACCGAGAAAGCAGCCACTGATCTCAAAGTGGCTGCCCACATGACAGAGAGATCTTCCGAAATTACCGTTTCTGGGCCCAAGGGGAGTCCTCAAGATGTGACAGACTCGTCATCATCCGCCCAGCAGGAGGAGCAGAAAGCACCGTCGTTCGAGAAGGACTATAGGTTTTGGATGATCATGCTCACACTGTGTTTTTCCATCATGCTTGCGTCGCTGGAAGGCACTATTGTGGTCACCTCACTCCCTTATATTGTTTCAGAGCTCAAACTGGGGAGCAACTACATTTGGGTGACCAATGTGTTTCTCTTGACAAGGTAGGTGTTCTCTTGGCCATACATGAATATTTTCCTTATGGGCATCATTGACATAGCATTGCAGCGCAGCAGTACAACCTCTGTTCGGCCAATTCTGCGATCTTTTTGGGCGAAAGGCTGTTTTGATATCCGTTCTAGGCTTGTATGTTCTGGGGAGCGGTATTTGTGGCGGAGCGACATCAGAAGCCATGCTCATCGCTGGCCGTACTATCCAAGGCATTGGAAGTGGTGGGTTGAACATGTCTGTGAGTTGACGAAAAAGTGCGGGAAGTTAGAGACAATCAAGAACTGACAGTTAGTTGGCAGGGTGAAGTTATTATTTCAGACTTGGTGCCGCTGAGATACCGTGGAAAATATGTCGCGCTCCTGCTGGTAGTCTCAACGGTTGGCTACTCGATTGGCCCTTTTGTTGGCGGTGCCATTGTTGAAAATTCGACTTGGCGATGGGTAAGTTGTCGGGAGTTGAACAGAGTCCGCAAGTGGCTAATCTTTCATCTGGGCTAGGTCTTTTACCTGAACCTTCCTATCGGAGGTGTTGGTATGATTTTTGCATACCTTTTTCTCAACCTTCGGTACGACCGCGAGGAACGCATCTTGTCCAAGTTGAAACGAATCGACTACCTGGGCAATGCCATCCTTATGGCATCCTCGGTATCAGTCCTGATTGCTCTGACTTGGGCTGGCCCTATGTATCAATGGTCTGATGCTCGTGTCCTCGTCCCACTCTTGGTTGGTCTGGCAGGTCTCGTAGGCTTCTGTGTTTACGAGGGCTCAGGCATACCCGAGACGCCCGTCATTCCACTACGTCTGTTTCCAAACCGAACATCAATAATTGTGTATGTGAACTCGTTCTTGATGCCCATGCTTCAATTTTGGTGCTTCTTCTACTTCCCGGTCTACTTCCAGGCGGTTCAGCTCTCTACGCCGTCATGGTCTGGTGTTCAGATCCTTCCAATCACGCTTATAGCAGTCCCCGGTGCAGCAGTAGCCTCTCTCCTCCTGGCTAAGTTCGGCAAGTTCAAGGCACTGCATATCACAGGCATGCTACTCACCACAGTTGGTGTTGGGCTTATTTCGCTCCTCAAGAAGGACAGCAGCACAGCTGTTTGGGTAGGAATCCAAATCATGCCTGCTGTGGGATCTGGGCTCCTCATTTCTACCCTGCTTCCTGCCTTCCAAGCGTCCCTGGCAGAGAAAGACCAAGCTGCGGCAACAGCGACGTGGAGCTTTGTGAGGACGTTTGGAATGGTATGGGGCATTGCCATCGCGGGGACGGTCCTGAACTCGTTCACTAAGCAGTACGCATACATGGTGGATAATGAGGCAGTGCGTGAGCTACTTAGCAACGGAGATGCTTACGCCAGTGGCACTCAGCATTTCGTGATGCAGTTTCCTGAGCCGGTTCAAAGCCAGATCCGGGAAGTCTTTCTGCTGGCATTGCGAAAGGTTTTCATCATCTCGGTGGCATTTGGGGGAACCGGGTTCATTCTCGCTCTATTTGAGAAAGACGTTCCTTTGAGAAAGGGCCTCGACACGGAGTACGGCCTCGAGGAGAGGAAGAAGCCTACTGGGGAGGAGGTTTAGAACGTGCTTGGATTACTGCCACCTAATTCATACATTTAGATTGATATAAACAACTATAGATATAGAACACTCTCCCACTCACTGGAGAAACATTTAATGGAGGAGTGTAATTAAGAAAATTGGGTTTGGGTTGCGAGCCCAGATCTGCGAGGGCCCGAGGAGACCTTGTCTTTTGTTATGAAATTTACTAGAAAAAGCCTACACTACTCGTTCAAAGAGACGTTTTTCTTAAAGATTACTTGATACATTTATTGAATGGCAGGAATGCTAGACTGGCATAGATATCACCAACGACAACTTACCTGAACCGGTGAACAAGATTTGGGCAGTGTCAGCTTACTCCTTGAAAATGCACCCCCTTGGACAATATTAGTGACTGTACTACCTAGTTTGTCGTGCCGGGAAAAAAAGGGGATGATGCGGAGGACAAAGCCTCCGAAGCAGCCATCTATGCTCAATGTCTGACAACCACCCGGTCAATCCACCAACAGATAATCCAGTCCTTGATGGAGACTGCTACGGAAACACCCGAACCGCCCCGTAGATGAATATTACCTACATAGTAAGCTTGTGTCCACCAATGGACTCAATTGCTGGTGCCTTTTTCAAGATGACCTGCTTGCCCGACCTTCTTCTTGGATGTACCTACACAGTGGACATAATTTGGTGGTATGGCACAACCGATGAACAATCCTGCCAAGACCAGCTGGATCAGTCGCATAAGTTCTCACTGCCGACAAAAAGGAATACGCGTCTGCTTGCGCAATGTATTCTCTGCATTACGATTACAGTGCCCTGAGAGCTGGGCTTCCGCTGGTAAACCTGGGGTGAGCTGCTCGGCGTGTAGGTTCGGGGAGGTTGGAGAATCACTGGGCACTACGTGGTAGACAGAGAATCCATCTAATCATGAGAGAATTGAAAATCCATATGATCATGAGAGAATTGAGCAACTCGTAAGATACAAACTCCTATTGAGCAGACAGATGCTTGTTCACGCCGTAATGAGCTTTCCAAAATGCTGACATCTGGTCAAAACGTGACTCAAGCACCTCGATCCTCGGCTCGAGATCCCATATCCTGATATTCCTTCCCGTAGAACTAAGGGGAGGCCAAGTAGGAGAATCCATTTCGGTCGCGTTGGGATTCCCCGATGTTATGAACCGTACCCAAGTCTCTAAGATACTCTTGGAGAGTGCTCTATCGGCGTCAGTCCAGTCCCAATTCTTCCAGTTGTTGAGATTCCCGAATGCGTACGGGACACCGGCGCAGTGAAACGCTCCAGCGGACTTCGATTCAGCTACCTCCCCGGCAATTGGAGGTGCTCGTGCAAATCTATAGTACCACGCAGGAGAGCTCATCTTGATGGCCTGCAACTCCGCCGAGCTCCACGTTGGCCAGACGAAAACCTGGTCAGCGAGAAGGTTAAAGCATGCAGAGCGCACCTCTGAGTCGGTTGTGGCGGGATACAGGCGGAGAAACTCTTCTTCTTGCTCACCGAACGTCTCTTTCGCGTAGGCACGATACTCGACGAGAGAATCCAGATATGGCAAGCTAGTTGCTTCGTCGAGAGAATTTCCTGCAAGAAGGGGGACATCGGACATCCTCCCAGATAGCAGCGTCGCCAGAGGTGATTCGGGCAAAACATAGCCATCAACAATGGGATTGGAAGTGTCAAACATACTAAGGCTTGTAGATGCATGCCACATATCTGATTTCCATTGTCCCTCTGCCCGGGGCAAAGATGCAGCCATGATAGTCTCGGCGGGTATTCTGCGAAGCTCCGCGATAGACGATGCCCCGACAGCGGCCAGCAATTCAACGCCTGCCATTTCTCCCGAGGCCAGTGTTGTGTAAGCTGCGAGATGGCCATGGCCATCAAGGGCCGGAGCCACACCTGGTCCGCTCTCGCAAATGGCCTTTGAGAATAACCCCTTTGCCAGCGGAGAGGAGCGTAGTATGTGAACACTCGCGCCCCCCGCAGAAGCACCTCCTATTGTGACATTATTGGGGTCACCCCCGAACGCCTTGATGTTCCTTCGCACCCATTCCAAGGCCGCGATCTGGTCCATGATGCCGTAGTTGCCGGAGGTTTTATGGCTGGACTCATCGCTCAGCTCAGGATGTGCGAGAAAGCCGAGGCGTCCCAGGCGATAGTTGACAGTAACAACAGTCAGTCCTTCTCTTGCAAGATTTGTTCCATCATAGACGGGGTTAGAGCTAGACCCGAAGATGAAAGCCCCAAAGTGAAACCAGACCAATACAGGTCGGTTATCGCCGCCTGAACCCGTGTAGATGTTCAGGTAGAGACAGTCCTCACTAAACTCAGACTCCCCTCCCTGGTAGATTGAATTCTCTGGGAGGGGGAACTGAAGGCTGCTGGGACCGAACTTTACGGCTGGTCGCACGTTCTCCCACGATTCAGGGCGCTGTGGTGGCCGCCAACGCAAATCTCCGATTGGAGGAGCTGCATAAGGTATGCCAAGGAAGGCCCTGGTATTGTTTGGAAAAGGAAGTCCAGACAGTACGCCCGAATCGATTCTAACTTCGGGGGACGGTGAATTCTCTGGGTATTGAGAGTGAGTCATGGCTGCAAACTGTGTTAGAGATGTTTAAACTAAGAAACTTTGTGAGTGGACTATTCAGCTACAAGAAGTTTGCATTATCCCGTCACTAGACAGGGCCCAAGGTTGTTATATGGGAATCAGGTGTTTGCCATATGTAAGCGGCTTTGCAAATTCGCTTACGCGCGTCGCCGCCCAACCCGAATCCCACGGCACAAGTGTAATAAGCCCGTCACCCAGCGGTTTCAACTGTGGTGAAACCTACTTCGGGGGAAAATGATCACAAGACAGGTAACATTAACGGGGTTTCGGACATTGTGATGGACCGAGTGACGGGGTTCTGGTTGTGAAGCTTATTCACGCCAACAACTCCACCGCCTTATGTCGGAAGAATTAACTTCTTACATGTTTCTTATAAATCATCTCCTTGTTCACCACTCTTGAAATATTGCTATAGACCTCTCAACTAAAACGCTGTCTAGTTTGAGCTTGGAACAGATGTAATAAGATGGTCCCAGCTCGGCCATTTGGTAAGGTCTGAGCTGACGCAAGCCCCGTCTCTATCTTGAAGGAAAAAATAGGAATCTATCAAATAATTGGCTTCTTTCAAACTCTCCGCGAATACCTGTCTACGGCAGTCGATATGGTCCAATATACGGGAGAGTACCTTGTCATGGGCAACTCTCAAACTGTTCACAGGAGCAGGTTATGATGTTGTTTCTTGCAATGCGCTTGAAGGGATAAACGACTTACTCTTCATCTGAAAGGCTAGGAGGGAGAAGGAGCAAGATTCCGTAGCCGAATCTTTGAATGATATAAGCCCATTTTCTCCCGCTCTTCCTCCACATCTGTATCTTGGCAATTCTCCTCTTGATGTCGTCGTTCTGGCCGGGAGCATAGGCCAAGACACCGCTTGCATCCCGTTGTGGGGCACGGTGGAATATCATATCTGCAAAGCGATGCTGTACGATAGATTTGCTCCCACCTTTGGGCGGGAGGATCCCACTCTTTTGAAAGCGCTGGTTGTCATACCACGCAAGGAAAACTCCGGGGTTGTCTTGGGCAAGTGAATACGCCCGATAAAAGTGAGCCAAGGCAATTCTTTTCCGTATCCTGCTCGTTTGCTCTCCGAATATGCTGCCTTCAATTGCTGCGCCTAAATCAACAACCAACTCGAGGAACCGCGACATGCTGGTTATTTGAGACAAGCTTGAAAATTTGTGCACCTGGTGAGGCTTCTCTTCCCCTGAATAGGATGCTGCAGCGCTGAGATGCCCCGAGAGCTCGGCAACCTGCGCTCTGGCTTCCTCGGAAACTACATGGAGCAACTTCTTGGTCAGCTTGGAGTTCTCCCCAAGGTTGTCAAAGTCATGCACGTGGCATCCGGACTCGAGGCTGGCAGTGTTGTTACGCAGGTTCCTCTGAGCTTGGTGAGTACGGGAAATAACTAGCGTCGTGTAATGCTCCGACTCACTGTTGAACTACTGGCTGGGGTTACTGTGCTCTCTAATTGGTCTTGCGTTTTATTCTTTGAAATCCGCCGTCGTTTGATAGTACCACTGCGTGATACCGGGCGTGATACTGGGCTCGATCCAGCTGTTGGGGGCGGTTCACCCATGTTATCAGCCGACGACCCCGCTGACAGAGATGCAATGCGGGAAGCATCATGAAGACTCATGTCTCCCGTAATGGCGCACTCAAGAGTCATGAGTTTGCTAATGAGCTTATGATTTTGGTCCTTGATCCGGTTGAGCTGAGGGGCTGTACAGAGGAAAGCTTTTGCAACCACTTGATCAACCAATCTGTGGAATTCCGTGTAAATGAGCTCGATTTCGTCGAGATTGAGCTCGTGATTAAAGCTTGTTGCGTGTGTCTCAAATCCCAATGGCCCAGACCATTGGTTCAACACAGGGTGGGCAACATCCTTGCGGTGGTAGGAGGGCAGAAATTCCATGTTTCTCATTCGCTCTACAGTACGGTGACTCGTGAGATGGTTTGTTGGTTATTTTTGGCCCCCCTCGCTAAATCATTCCGACAGTAGTGTTATAGGTGAGCCTGGAGGCCAGTCCGGGGCGGCGGGAGGCCAGCGGCCGCCCCTTGATACCCTGCTTACTCCCATGGAAACAATCCGCGCGTGGGAGGCTTGCTTGTGCGAGATAGGAAAGCAAATGTAATCTTGCATAGCCGTATAGGCGTTTACATATACGGCTCATTGATGTCGCAATCTCCTCGGAGATTTCTCGCCTGGCCCTGCAATCAGTGACGAAGCCATGGGGGTAAGCAGCTTTGTAGTTTTCCCGTATCGCCCGGTTCTGCTTCCTCCACTCTGCTTCCTCCGGTGTGCTTGCTCCGTTCGGCGGACGAGCCAGTTCGTGCTCAAAGACATGAAACTCGACTATTGCCGAGCTGATATGTCAACCCGACCATTGCGCCGCGGACAAGCGGATGGGAAGCTCAATTGACCAGTGAAATTGCTTTGTTCTTGCGCAATCTCGTGGTGATTATCATAAGCGAATGCAGTGAAACGCGAACCCTAGGGGACCACTTGATAGGGCTCCGGCGGAACCTATATAACTGGCCATGTGGCTACTATCGGATCTTCCAGTGCAACCCTAAGACCATACGATGATTACTGTGGGACACGTGCAACTAGCTATCCGTAAACATATGAAAGTGCAACCTAGATGCTTGGATAGGTATGCAATATGTAGGAGTTACCTGCATAAATTGATCAGAAAAACTTACGATAACTTAACCAAGGTTACCGCACGACGAATTAAAGCGTCCCGTTGGATTAGTGCTCTCCGAGGCTTAATTCGGATAGTAACCACTCCCACAAGCTATAGCTCAACACAAGTCTCTGTGACTCAGTCAAGTCATACCCGGTGAGTCCCTATCCTGGGTTTATCATCAGCAAACAGGGATCTATAGCCAATACAATTTTGAATCTTACAGTTGGAGCCAACTCGAGGGACTCGTGACGTACCATTCCAGGGGGGTTTAGTCACCTATCTGTCGATGACCACGGTGTTGTAGACTAGGCAGTTGTGGGACCGAACTGATGACTGCATGTCCAGTGTACAAACGGGCAGATCGTCGCCGAATAGGTGTGTGTGAAACTTGCGTTTTGTGTTTTCGTATTCGTCGGGGAGGGAAAAGGAATAAGAGCTGCATTCATATTAAAGTCTCAATTCCCTGTCTCATTCTCAAGTTGCCAAATGTCCCCCGTCAGCTTTTCAACTTATTCGAGATCTTCATTCTCTTGATCTACTACTCCAAAAATGGATTTCGTGTGGGCTGGCGTTTCAGCCATCAAATCCCGAGGTGAATATGGCTGGATTGGTCTTGGTGCAACGACCATCTACTTGGCTTATTGTGCAATCTGGCGCATGTACCTTTCACCGATAGCCCATATCCCTGGGCCAAAACTGGCAGCACTCACGCATCTGTATGTCAAGTGTGCACCGCCATCTACTTGGAATGATCACTTATTCGTGTCAGGTATGAGATGTACTACAATAACTGGCTCGGTGGCAAGTACATCTGGAAAATCCAAGAGTTGCACGATCAGTACGGTCCAATAATCCGAATCTCACCCTCTGATTTACACGTTGGGGACCCAGTATGTCCGTTCACAACATTCTGACGACCAATCTGGAATAATCAACTGACTAAATGTCAAGGAATTTTATGACATTCTCTACCCGAGCGCTACAAGCGGAAGACGAGCCAACAAGCCCCCAAGTTTAACCAAGTTCTTCGGCCTAGACGATTCGTTATTTTCCACTATGGACCATGATATTCACAGAAAACGCCGCGCGGCTCTTCTGCCATATTTCAGCCCTACGTACGCGAGGCGCCTTCAGCCAATCTTCCAAGAGAGGCTCAACGTCATGTTGGAAAGACTGGTTTCCCTCAAGGACACGGACGTACCAGTCAACGCCAACTGCATGTTCGCGGCGTTTAGTCGAGGTGAGACCCCAGAGTTAGTAGGATAACTAGGCAAAGACACTAATATCGATCTTTCTGTAGATATAATGGAAAATCTTGCTTTTGGACAATGTTCTCATAGACTTGGTATGTCACAGGCCTGTACCTGGTTCGCAGAATAACCACCCATTGACGTGAGTAATCCAGAGCACCCTAGCTTTGACCCCTCAGAGCGCGATGCTTCGTTGTCTGGCGCACAATCTTTCCATATTATGAAACGCGTCCCCTGGCTCAACGACATCATGATGTCGCTCCCCGAGACATTGGCGCGGCGCATTAGCCCATCGCTCGGGTCTTACATGCGTCAGAAACACGAAACACGTAAGCTCGTGGCCGAGCTCTCAGTCACATCTGACGACGAGTGGAACGGAAAGGAGATGCCCATTTTCCGAGGGGTGCTGAATTCTCCCAAGTTGCCACCCCAGGAAAAGACCGTCGAACGCGTGTCTCAGGATGCACAGATGTTGCTCATGGCGGGCACGCTCACCATGGCATCCAACTTGGAGCACTCAATCTATTGGGTCGTTGACAATCCGGACGTGCTGCGCAAGATGAAGGAAGAATTGAAAACTGCAATGCCCACGATTGACGATGTCCCAAATGTCCGGCTCTCATCCTTGGAGGGCCTCGATTATCTCACAGCCGTTGTCAAAGAGAGTGTTCGGCTCATTTACGGGAACTCTACTCCGCACTTTCGTTATGATCCTGACGGACCTTTGGTGTATAAAGAAGAGGAGACAGAGAAGAGCTGGGTGATTCCTGCGAACACGCCGGTGGGAATGACAAGTGTCCTGCTGCATCATAACGAGCTCCATTTCCCGAACAGTAAGAAATTTGACCCTGAACGCTGGTTGGGAGAGCCAGGGAAGAAGCTGGATAAGTACATGGTTGGGTTTGGCAAGGGCAGTCGTGTCTGCTTAGGCATGCCTCATGGATATGCTATTCTTCGCTTGGTTTTAGCTCAGATCTGGAGGCTGTGGGCTACAGATGAGGTGGCACTTGGAGACGAGTTGGGGGTTCTTAGATTGTATAACACTACCCCCCTCGATGTGAAAATGGTGGGTGATTTTTTCGTGGGTAAATACAACAAGGCCCAGGGCGTTGAGTTTAAACTCAGTAGCCTGTAGCTAGATCCTGAAAACTAGCTAGGAAGTACCTAGGTCAGAAATACATTTGCATTGAATGTAGACCCATGTACCTAACTAAGTCGTCAGTGTAGCTCGCACTAAATATGTTATTATCAAAGTACTTGAGTCCTTAGATCTCTGGACCCCTTAGAGTTATACTTCTTCCTCGGTTATCAATTCGTATTTCGGCTCTGCTAATAGGATCTATGGACAGAGACGGAATTGATCCGCAAAATTGGCAGTGATACTAGTCTCGGCATATAGACCGCGTCGGCGATGCCACAATGACCGGATCTCGGTAATGTAAAGACGGATGAAAGACTCATAAGCTTAGCAAAGTGGATGTACTATCTGCATCAGAGCAACCGCATCTGTCTCAGAAGAGAGGCAACGGCAACTTGGCCTCGTACCCGTATATGCAAGCTAGGGAACTTACGGAACATAACCCGGTAGGTGCATGATAACCTACTAGGCATCAATGAGCATGCTTTTCATGCCGTTCGATCCGGTTGAATGTGTATGTTACTTGCTCGTTTGTGCTACGGCTGATCCTGAGGCTGAGAGAAGACGGCGAAGACAGCTATATCTCTGCTTATCTTCCAGGGTTACTTCATATTCATTGACTACTCGTATTTATCGGTGTTTCCCCTGAAAGATAGCAAGACAGCCAGTCGTTATCAATAAGATGACGAGTATTTACCGAAAGGGAAACACTAGAAGCCGTTGTGACCCTCAAATATCCCATCTGCCGCTGTGTTTGTCTCTCCTTGGTGCAAACAGCTCACTATTCGTATGTTCAACACCTGATTGCCAAGTCTCCGGATTTTTAACCTCTCGGGATTTTGAACCTCTAGTTGAATTGAAGAAAGTTTTCTTGTCCCTTCAATCATGGGAGACACACTTCCTTCCCTTCTCCTGTTTGGGCCCCAAACGGAATTCCCGTCTTCACAAGCCCTCGATCAAGTTCGCGCCGAGTTGACCAGTAACAAGTTTTTGTCTGCTCTTGTCGAAGCGGTGAACGATCTACCCCAGTTTTGGCAAGAATTGACAAGATTTGACCCGGATTTGCAAAGTATTCCTGGCATCAAATATCTTGGTCTACTTGGGCATTGGCTCAGAGAAGGCAGGCCCTTATCTCTGGATGAGACACATCTACCCAATCATTTCGTTCTTCCGGTCACTATACTCCTCCAAATTACACAGTACACCCAATATCTCAACCGTGTTGGTGCCGATAGTCACCGCAAGATATTGGCAAGTGTTCAAGCGGGAGGAATACAAGGCTTTTGTGTTGGATTTCTCAGTGCTATTGTCGTTGCCAGCTCAAGCAGAGAGGAACATCTCGGTACTGCAGCCGCCAGTGCCATTCGTCTTGCTGTGTGCATCGGAGCCTATGTTGATCGTGATGGCGCGTATTCTTCACAGCCTACAGAATACAAGGCTGTTGCTATTCGATGGAAAGAAGGCAACGCCAATGGCAAGGAAGATGTTCTCAATCTGACCAAGTCCATCTCAACGGCAAGTAAAAGACTCCTGGGTAAACTACATTGTCTAACTTCCATTAGGCATATATTTCAAGCATCAATGACGACGCAAGCGTGACTGTCACGACAAAGGCTTCTGACATAGAAGGTCTAATCCACAAGGCCAGAGAACAAGATTTGCGAACAAGTCCTGTCCATGTCCAAGGCCGTTTCACACTTCCGACTATAGACTCGTAGCTGAGAAGCTCATGAAATTTGAACCGCTTTTAAAAAATTCTCAGTTCGGCGACGCAAGTACACTGCAGGTCTTGGTCAGAGACACTGCTACCGGAGATCAACTCGAGAAAGGTTCCCTGTCTCGTTTTGCCCTGCAGAACACCCTCTTGAATGTTGCAGACTGGTACAAGACGTTGAGTTGCTCACTTAAAGACATAAAGGGGTTCAACCAGACAGTTGCTTTTGCGGGAAATGGCTACTTCGTTCCGAAATCCTTATTTCAAGATTCTGGGGCTCAGTTAATAAATTTGGGCTCTATTGAATTATCCGGCACAAATCTCGGAACTGGCTCCCCTAGCAGTCACGAGAACATCAATGGAATAACGAATGGCATCGCAAGTATCCACGATGTGGAGAACCACGAGGACATGTCGAAATACCCATCTCACTCTATTGCAATTGTCGGGATGGCTGGGAGATTCCCTGGGGCAGACTCCGTCGATGAGCTGTGGAAACTTATCACTGAGGAGAAGACAACGGTTGAACCCGCTCCTGTGGAACGCCTTCATCTACCTCAGACTGGAGATCACGAGAACACGAAGTGGTGGGGAAACTTTTTGAACAACCCGGATGCCTTCGATCACAAGTTCTTCAAGAAGTCCTCCCGAGAAGCAGTCGCGTGGGATCCACAACAGAGAATCCTGCTTGAGGTAATTTATGAGGCGTTAGAGTCCGCTGCATACTTCGGTCCCTCGGCCGGCTCTGAACCCCTCGATTATGGCTGCTACATCGGTGCCGTGATGAACAACTACTATGATAATTTATCATGCCACGCTGGCACTGCTTATGCTACAGTTGGGACTTCGAGATGCTACCTCAGTGGCTGTATGAGTCATTACTTCGGCTGGACCGGTCCGTCACTGACAATTGATACGGCTTGTTCGTCGTCCCTTGTTGCTCTCAACACGGCTTGTCGGGCAATTTGGTCCGGAGAATGCTCTAGGGCCATCGCTGGCGGCACCAATGTCATCTCCAGTCCCTTTGATTATCAGAATCTATCTGCTGCCGGGTTTCTTAGTCCATCCGGCCAGTGTAAACCTTTCGATGCTGGCGCGGATGGCTACAGCCGTGGAGAAGCGGTAGCTGTGGTTGTGTTGAAACCCCTTCAAGATGCAATCGACTCCAAGGATGATATCCTCGGTGTCGTTGTGGGATCTGCCGCAAATCAAAATCATAATTTTAGTCACATCACCGCCCCATATTCAGGTTCTCAAGTCGAACTTTACCAGAAGGTTATGGAGCTAGGGAACGTGCAGCCGGAGTCGGTGACATACGTCGAAGCACATGGTACAGGAAGTAAGTATAACTATTCACAGGACCATTCTTGTTCAGTTTCACTGACTGTATGACTTCCATAGCTGGGGTTGGAGATCCAATTGAAGTTCGCAGTATTCGTGACGCGTTCGGTGGGCCTACCAGAGATTCTATTCTCCATTTCGGCTCGATTAAGGGGAACATCGGCCACACTGAAGCTACGGCCGGTGTAGCTGGCCTTATCAAAGTGCTGCTGATGATGAGACATCGAAAAATAACAGCCCAAGCAAGCTTCAAGTCGTTGAATCCAAAACTCCCAGCTTTTGATCAGCATCAGATGTCCATTTCTCGAAAGGAAATACCCTGGGAGGCATCTTCACTTATAGCTTGTGTAAACAGCTATGGAGCAGCTGGTAGCAACTCTGCTGTCATTGTTCGGGAAATGTCAGCCCCTTTCCCTAAAGGCGACCCTACATCCTTGTCAAAGTATCCGATCTTCATATCCGCCGGGTCTTCGAATAGTCTGTCACGATACTGTCAGAAACTCTTGTCTTGGATGGATGACAGTGAATCAGTATACAGTCGCGAAGACATCCTAGGATCTCTTTCTTTCAATCTTGCTGACAGAGGTAACCATTCGTTGCCTTTCGTATTATCTACGGCGGTGAACAGCATTGCGGATCTGAAGGCCAAATTTCAAGCTGCCGCTAGTGGCTCAGAAATAGCCCCAACGGATGCAAGCAGCCCTGTTGTGCTCGTATTTGGAGGCCAAGAGAGCCAATACGTTGGTCTCTCGCGAGAATTCTACGAGTCATCCAAGATATTCCGAAAGCATTTGGATTCCATTGACGACTGGGCTACCTCCTCCGGACTAGAGAGCCTCTACCCCTCTATGTTCGAGACAAAACCATTGAAAAATCTAGTCACCCTGCACACATCCTTGTTTGCTGTTCAATATGCTTCTGCCAAAGCTTGGATCGACTGTGGGCTCAAAATTAGTGCTGTTGTCGGACACAGCTTTGGTCAGCTCACGGCTTTATGTGTATCTGGTGCACTTTCCCTGTTCGATGCGTTGGCGTTGGTTTCAGGCCGAGCGTCTTTGATGCAGCAGCATTGGGGGTCCGAGGCTGGCTCCATGTTATTCATAGCCGCTGATCGCAAGGCAGTGGAGGAGATAATTCAGACTCTGGAAGCGAAGGAAGAAAATTTCTATGCTGAGATAGCATGCTATAACGGACCAAGGAGCCATGTTGTCGTGGGTTCTGCGGACTCTATTCAACTCTTGCAGTCGCACGTTTCGAATACGCCGTACCTTCGGGACTCGATCCGTACCAAGAGGTTGAATGTCACAAATGGTTTCCATTCACAGTTTACTGAACCTATGCTGCCTCATCTCGAGTCTTTAGCTCAGCGGTTACAATGGAGGGATACGCAGATCCAGCTTGAAACAACCGACGAATACGAAACCAACCCCCGACCAGAATTCAGCATCGTTTCAAAGCATACAAGACAGCCGGTATTCTTTCAACAAGCCGTGGAAAGATTAACATCTCAGTTCTCCAAGTGTGCTTGGATAGAAGCCGGGCGCGGGTCTTCAGTTATGCAACTTGTCAAGGGGTCTGTTGGAAACCCTCAGGGCCACAGCTTTTATTCTCCTCAACTTACTTCAGCAAATGCACAAGACTCATTAGCTGATATCACGGTTGACCTCTGGAAGAAGGGTTACGCTACGCAATACTGGCCATTCCACCGAATCCAGAAGCAAGATTTCAACTATCTGAGTCTGCCCCCTATTCAATTCGAAAAGACTCGTCATTGGCTTGGATTCACCGGAAGAGGTTCAGTCGCAAACGGCGAGACCGCGAAACACGAAGAAAGTATCACAGATCCTCCAACCCTATTGAAATTCGTTGAGTTTCAGGATGCGTCCAAATTGGAGGCCGTCTTTCAAATTGACCCTCGAGCCGATCGCTTCCAAACAATGCTTGGCGGGCATGTAATGGCTGGACAAACCCTCGCCCCTGCTTCCCTCTACTATGAGGTTGTGTCCCGCGCAGCACTTTTCCTTGAAAATGATGTTGAGGCTTTATCATATGTCCCAACAGTTGATGATCTTTTTATGGCTTCACCAATTGGCTCAAGCATTAGCAAAAAGATCACCCTTCTGCTAAGTAAACTCGATACTGTCAGCCCTTCCTGGTCGTTCCGTATCACAACACAGGACACAGACATCCAAGGTGCTGAGCCTTTCGAGCATTCTACCGGTAGGGTCTGTCTGAAGAAGCGTGACGACAAACAGGCCACAAGAGATTTCGAGCGGTTTGAGACATTGACGGGCCACCGGAGATACCAAAACGTGATGAACCACCCAGATGCAGAGAAGATGCAGGGCAAGCATGTCTATCGAGCATTCAACACTGTTGTATACTATGGCCAACCTTTCCAAGGTATTAAATCCGTGTCTTGCGTGGGCTCAGAGGCTGCCGGAATTGTCAGAATCACACCCCCAGCAGACGATCCAACAGATCAACGCCTTTGTGACACGCCCATGACTGATAGCTTTATGCAATTTGCTGGATTTCTGGTCAATTATTTCAACAATCCAAGCATGGATGATGTCTTCGTCTGTAATAAGATTGAGCATATCGAAATCGGCGGTGGCTTCGACCCTGATGCTGGGGAGTGGCTCGTGTATTCCACCATGAGCGAGGGCGGAGAAACTGATGCCACGGCAGACGCTTATATCTTTGATTCCAGGACCAAGAAGATGGTCATGGCTGCCTTCGGCTTCCAGTTCTCTAAGATGTCTCAGAACCTTTTGGCTCGCGTGTTGAAGAGTGTCAACAAGTCCAAGTCGACTAAGAACATCGAGCTCGCAGACGATAGAAAGGAGACTGAAGTGTACACTCACTCCATGGGACAACCTACCTCTGCATCCTCTGCTAGGAAATCCGTTGGTAAACGACATGAGCTTTTCCAGATAATTTCCAATGTGACGGACGTGCCAGTTGATGATTTGAAAGATGATTCGACATTGGATGATCTTGGTGTTGACTCGCTCATGGCAACAGAGGTGCTGAACGACATACGGGCTGCGATGGGAGTTACCATTGATCTATCAAGCTTTTTATTCTTCCCAAATATCAAAGCAATCGTCTCTCATGTCGATGAAAAGCTAGGCCTTGGCGGAGAAGAAGAGGAAGACGATGAAAATGACGACAGTGATTCTGCTAGAGCCTCATCATCTGATACACAATCAACGCCTGTCACTAGGGTGACAACGCCGGGAATAAGCGGCTCGGAAGGAGAGCGACCAAAAGAGATGAAAACCACGGATAAGCCTACTATAGTCTCTGCCTATGAATCATTTGAGGCAACGCGCCTTAGATATGATCATCTGGCGGAAACTACGCAAGCTGTTGGCTTCTGGGAGAAAGCGTACCCTCATCAAGCACGTTTGGTCTTGGCCTACGTTGTGGAAGCATTTGCTGACTTGGGATGCGATGTCCGAGCCATTCCAAACGGTGGCCAAGTTCCGCAGATCAGTGCTCTTAGCAAACACTCGAAATTGGTGCGCCAGTTGTATCGTGTGCTTGAGGATGGGAACCTTATCAAGGAGAGTGCCGGGGCTTTTACTCGGACCAAGGTTCCTGTTGATCCCGAATCTGCCGAATCCATTTACAACCAAACCATAGACTTGTTTCCACAGCACGCCTGTGTCAACAAGCTCGTACGTGCTGTCGGATCGGAAATGGCAGCCTGCCTGCGAGGCGACAAGGAGGGTATCCAAGTCGTCTTCGGCAACCGGGAGAACAAGAAGACGCTGGAAGAGATGTATGAGTTCTGGCCTCTTCTGCGAACCCCCACGCTGGTCCTCGGTAATTTTCTACTCAAAGCATTCACCAACTCGACCGGCACGGGCAAGTTTAGAATCCTCGAGATTGGCGCGGGGACGGGCGGTACGACTAGATACCTCCTCAGTGTGCTGAGGGCCGCGGGTATTGATTTTGAGTACATCTTCACGGACCTCAGCTCGTCGTTAGTGACCGCGGCCTCGAGGCAATTCAAGGGTATGGATGATATTTCGTTCGATGTTCTGGATATCGAACAACATCCGAAGGCGGAGTTTGAAGGCGCCTTTCATTGCATTATTGCGACCAACTGCATTCACGCTACTAGAAATCTTGAAGTATCACTCAAGCACATCCGTCGAATGCTTCGGGACGATGGGTTCCTTTCCTTGATTGAGATTACTAAGAACATGTATTGGCTCGACATTGTTGTTGGACTCTTTGAGGGATGGTGGTTGTTTGAAGATGGCCGTCAGCACGCATTAATCGACGAGAAGAATTGGGAGCGGAGGATGAAAGCTGCGGGTTTTGGGGAGGTATGTTGGAGCGAAGGTGTGACACCGGAGTCGAAAACAGTTCGCGTGATCTCCGCATTTCCCACTCAAGTCAAGCCAGCGGTTGTTGGCAAGTCTGTGAAAGCATCAATCGAGACTGTGGTTTATAAAACGATCGGGAGCCAGAAGATTCATGCCGACATCTACTGCCCCATCATCGACGAGGAGGCTCCGGCCCAAAAGAAGAAAATACCCATTGGTAGGTAGGCCTCTTCTTTTGTTGATATTCATACAGCTAACAGTCCAATAGCCTTAATGATCCATGGGGGTAGCCATATGCTGTTCAGCAGAAAGGATATTAGGCCAGCACAGACGCGCCTCTTGCTTAACAAAGGGTTTCTCCCGGTCAGCCTGGATTATAGGCTTTGTCCAGAAGTTCCGCTTGCCGAGGGAGCCATGACAGATGTATGCGATGCCCTTGAGTGGGCTCGCAACCAACTACCTCACCTGAATCTTCCGCAGCTAGGAGTCGAAATTGATGGGGAGAAGGTCGTCGTCGTAGGATGGTCTTCTGGAGGACAGCTTGCTATGTCATTGGCTTGGACAGCGCCTCTCAGAGGCCTTCCACCGCCAGCTGCCATTCTTGCCTTTTATGCCCCAACCGACTACGAGGATCCCTGGTGGCAGAACCCCATATACCCTAACGGGGCTCCGTACAAGGGGCTGCAGTATGATGTTCTCGAAGGTGTGGAGGATGAAGCGATCACCAACTACGAGATGGTGGGAGCTTGGGAAGAACCCATTGCCGATCCACGCAGCCAAGACGATGCGAGGTGCCGGATTGTCTTCCACATCAACTGGAAGGCCCAAACCCTGCCTGTGATTATGAATGGCTTGCCTAGTCGCAACAAGGTCGCGGAGAAACACCCGGACGTGGAGGACTGGAACAAGCTTCCACAGCCTTCAGTCGAGACTATCAAGTCACATAGCCCGCGCGCTCACATTGATCAGGGCGACTACAATGTTCCTACCTTTTTCGTTCACGGGACATCTGACGACCTTATTCCCTGGCAGCAGAGTAGCACCACCTATCAGGCGATGCTTGAACGAGGTATCAAGACTGGTCTGGTGCTTCTGGAGGGGGCTCCTCATATATGCGATCTGAGTAGCGATCCTGAGTCGGATGGTTGGAAAGCCACTGTGAAGGCTTATGATTTTATTTGTTCGAGTGTTTGATTGTTTGTAGTTTCTAGGAAGGAATTTGGTAGATTGAAAATTTAAGAATCAGTCTTTATTTTCTGCTTCGTCTCTCATCTCCTTTTTTGTTTCTCGGTGAGCTATCGTAGAAATATTAAATATAAATAAATAATAAATATAAAGATTGTTCGACCCAACAAAGTAACACAAGAAGAGACGTCTCCCCTCGTATCAAAGGGTATCATGTTTAATGCCAAGTCTCATCTCCTTAGAATAAAACAACAATTTAGATAAAACGATTTAGTATTGACATTTGAATATGGCTACTGACGTAGCTACTCTTGATCATGCCTTCACCTTCAGCGTAAATCCAGCTCTCATAACGCGAACAGCAAGAATAATCAAGCCAGCCACCAAACCACAGATACCTCCATAAAGCCATACTCCAGTCCAGTTCAATGGCTCAGCGCTCCCGAGGATGGCACCGGCGCTAGGACCTCCGAGCAGCAGTCCCAAGCCACTGATGGCAAACCCTTGACCCATGCGCGTACCGATCATGGAAGGATTCTTGGTGAGCATGCGGAAGCACACCGGTGGTAGAGCAATGACCATGCCACTGAAAAAGCCTGTGACGATTCCTTCTACAACCATTCCAGCCGCATTGTGCACAGCTAACAGACAACAAACTGTCATGCCGTAGACCAGCGTCAAGGGGCCCATGGTGTTGAATGGGCCGATACGATCGGACAGGGCGTTGGGTAGGATCCGCCCCGCCACCGACCCGGCATTGAAGATGGCAGTCATGTAGAACCCAAGGGACTCGTTGGTGAGGCTGCGGTTCACCGGGTAGAAGGAGATGTAGAAGAGCAGCACGCATTGGGCGATAAAGATGATGAGCACGGCCAACATGAAAGTCGCGAATGGGGCGTCGGTGAAGGCAGACCAGTCAACGATGGCTCGTGGCTTTGGCACACGGACTCGGACGCGCATGAAAACCAGGGGGACGATGAAGGTCGCAAGGGCGATGAAGCCGAGACATCTCACAGCCCAGGGGAAGCCGATCTGGCCGATCAGACGATACAGCACAATGGGGTAGATGACACCGCCGAGTGAGGAGCCGGACGAAGCAACTCCAACGGCGAGACCCATGTGAGTGCTGAAATACGTGGGGAGAAGCGACACTGTTGGGACAAAGAGTAGTCCAGCGCCAGTGCCGATAACAAAGGCCTGTGCAAGCAACGCCTGCCAATACTCGGTACATAAGGACAGCATCATCAAGCCAAAGACGATCATGAAGCTGCCAGTGACAAGGAGAAGTCGCAAGTAGCCTCTATCATAGAGAGGTCCGGCAATTAGTCCAGCGAATTGAAGGAGGAATGACTGGATGGATCCAATCCACGAGATATTGGACGAGGTGGCCTGGAAAAGCACACCAGACTCATAGTACGTCTGGAAGACCCCGAAAGCACTGACCAGACCCCATGTGTTGAAGAATAGGACGAAGCCCGAGGCGACCTGGAGCCATGCAACTAATCCACCATCAGGAGGGGGTGAAGGCGCTCCAGGAGGACCGCCAGCTTGTGCAGGCGCTTTTACAGCCACTCCATCCTTGGGAATATCTTTAGAAGCATCTTTGGAGATTCCATTGGCGATATTCTTGGAGCTTTCGTTAACCGTGTCGTTTGAGGCGTCGTTGATATACTTGTCGCCATCCGTGGCCAGCTCTAGGTCTGGCTGGGGCGCGTTGTCAAGCTTTTCCGAAGCCATCATAAGTCCGCAATGAGAAGTACAAGTGATGAATCTGCAGTGCTGTACCTTGAACTACGCGTTAAACTTCGGTATATATGAGGCTTTGTTTACGTTGTTACAACCACGCCATTTTGGAAGCTCGCCCAAGGCCAAATTTGTAAGCAGTAATAAGGCACTTCCGCCGATACGGAGATGATTTTTTCAAAGGAGAAAGGGATCTATCATACCGCTAACAAAGTGGTTTGAATGCATGCCAACTGTCGAGGTCCAAAACATCCAAACCTTCTGGATGCAGAGTTTGGATTGTTTCGTCATCACAACGATCAGATCTAACTAACTATCGATATCCGAGCATTATTCAGCTTCGATTTCTCGGAAGGTCAGCGACTTTCAATATGATCGGGCCACACCGAATGAACAGCCTGTTACACGCAGACACCAATGAAGAAAGACATGTCCAGGGGGATATTCGCCAAGCACTTTCGCCCGCGACGGCGGAACAAAGAGAAAACGTGACCAATCATGCAAATGGTACATTGGATGTGGGGGTTTGTCAGCAGTGCCGATCAGATGCTTCGTCCGAGATGACGGCGGACTTGATTATCAACCCATTTCCTCCCGCCGCGACTCACCTCCGTCCGCTGCGGTGGACGAACTGGTGACAGAACTCCGTGAACTCGTCCGCATTTCGTTGCAGGATACTCCATCAATCCCCTCGTACCAGACAGACAAACGATGGACAGCATCACCCCGGGTGAAGGCCCCTCTCCCATGGCAACCCCACAAGACTCTACACGAAGGAAGATCCGGAAAGGAACACGGTCGTGCTGGGAGTGCAAACGTCGAAAGATCAGATGCATCTTCCCCTCGCAGGATGGTACAATTTGCAATGGGTGTTTGCGCCGGCGTGTCCCCTGTGTCACGCAGGAAATGCCCGAGGACTTGGTCCCGGCGACGACCAGGAGCGGTGGCCAGCAGCTTGGTGAGCGCATCGCGAGAGTAGAAGACTTCATCAAAGGCTTTCTGGCCAATCCCCATGCCGCGGCGATCAGTCAAGCTCCACGCCAAGAGTGGCAGTCAGGCAGTGATGACTCGAGAGCTCAAGCCAATGATTCACCGGTGTCTGCGCAGCTGGTTCCATTTCCTTTGACACCTGTGCAGGTACGTAGTTCCATGGTCCTTGCAGATCCCAGCTTCTTAGAGTAACTTGTTGGTTCTAACGTCTCCTTAGAGCTTGCGTGGAGAGTCTGTGCCGGAGTCCGTCCTCGTCCCGGACTCGCGAGTTGGATGGAATGGACTTGGCAGTGAAACCGCGGTGCATCACTTGCTCGGAGCTTTCCCAAAGGGCGAGGACGCCCGTATTCTCCTCAGGGAGAGCTCCAAGCCGTCTCTATATACGCAGATCATGAACACCCAGCCTCATAGTAAGCTGACATACGAGGCACTGGCAACGCCTGTGGCAGTTCCGGCTCTCCCTGGCCCCCACAGTCATCCAGTGAGTCTGGCGAGAATTCTGTTCTTGTTTGCCATCACACTGCAGACTCCGTACAGCGAGAAGCTCCGTTCACTTTCCGAGCCACAGAACACTCTTATGAGTCGTTTTGTGACGACTGCTACAACATGGGTAACTACCAGAGAAGAGATGAGCGGGACCATAGACTATCTCTATTGCGTCATGCTAGAGGGTGTCTACGAAGTAAATTGTGGTAATCTACGACGGGCCTGGGCCGTCTATCGTAGAGCAATGGCAGCTGCTCAGCTGATGGGCCTCCATCGTTCTCCTACTCCGTCACCAAAACGCATTGATCCGGCGCTGGACGCCGATCCCAAGTTTATGTGGTTCCGCATCATCTACATGGATCGTTACCTCAGTCTCCTACTCGGTCTACCGCAGGGCACTCCTGACACGAGTATCGGGGCAAGTTCTGTCTTGTCCCGCGAGCCTCCCTTGGGCAGGTTTGAGAGATCTCTCACAGTGATCGCATCCCGTGTTCTAGAACGCAACGAGGGTGAATTCAGCTCGGATGGCATCGCAACCACACACGCAATCGATGCCGAGCTGCTGATGGTTTCAAAGAGTATGCCCGGAAGCTTTTGGCGGCCCGTGAACTTCCTCAACCTTACTCCCGCATCGCCCGACACTCTTCTGGAGACACTTCGCCTGTCGGCCCAGGTCTACTACTATGCGCTGCTGATCCAGCTCCATCTTCCTCACATGATGCGGATAGGGGACAACAATCAGCACGAGGAAAACTCCAAGTTTACTTGCATGAATGCCGGTCGGGAGATTGTGACACGGTTCATAGCACACCGAACCTTTAACCCGATGTCGTCTTGCTCGCGGCCCGTAGATTTCTTTGCGCTTCTGGCGGCCATGACGCTTCTCCTAGCCCACATCGACGCCCATCACGGGTCAGAAGCGAACCATTTTCTTGCTCACCAGCGCCTAGGCGACCTCTCCATGTTGAATCAGGCGCTGGAGAGGATGGACATACTCAGCAATGCCAACAACGACGCCGTCTCTGGGAAGAATGCCAGGTTGATACGGCGACTCCTCGCCATCGAAGCAGACGCAGCCGAAGGGGTAGACTATGCCACCAGCAGCGTAAATGGAGACGATGACGCGGATGATATTGATAGACAAGACGATCAAACCGGGGGTGAAGCTCTTCACTTGCGCATTCCGTACATTGGTATCGTCCGGATTGCTCGACAGGGCCCCATCTCCCGGCAGCCATTGCTGGGCCAGGCCACGTCTCAACAGCCGATCATGCAGCTGCGCGCGTCCGAGTATGAACGACCTGTGATGTATTCCAATTCAGGTAGCGAGAATCTCACTCTCCAGCAAACCGACCTCGGCTCCAGCGAGATAGATGAAGCGGATGAATGGGCCTTCCAAGGCGTTGACATGGCCTTGTTTGACAGGTTGATGGGAGGGACGGCGTGTATGGACGGCGTTCGGTTCGATTAGCAGACTCATGCCACTCCATGTTGTATAATGGCTGAGGGACAGCTCTGCACAGACCTGTGTGAGAAACAACGACATGAACGCAGTTATCGAGCCTTGCTACCTCCCTCAGGAGTACGGCACTCTTCACGATCTCCACCCGGCATTCAGCAGAGCCGATGCTCGGAAGTCACCACGATCGTCACAAGACTCGATGTAGGAGTGACAAATAGATTAAATGAGAATAGGGTGCTCATCATTGTCCTCGTGCGGGATCGGATGCAACCACTTCCCCGCAATGGCGTCAGCCACGATGATTTGAACGTGATGGATCATTTGCGAT